TCTGTAACAGACATTTGTAGCTAACTTCAGAAGGCTGAAGGCAAAGAGGTTGGCAAAGATGTACTAGGAAAATACAATCATGAAGACAAGGGTAACTCTATTAAATGAGGTAAAGTTGAATATGGTGGGGCCAGGGAGGAAGCATTCCTCCCTGGGAATAAAGAATAATTTTATAAGGATGAAGGGTATAATCCAATTACAAGAGATAACTGTCAAGAAACTATACATGAAGCAGAGTTGCCATGCATAAAGCTGAAACTACAGAAAATAGAAGAATAGCACACACACAGCAGTATCGGGAGAGTCTAATATACTCCTTTAGTGTCAGCAGGTAAAATAGTAAAAAAGTAGAACTATAGAAGATTTCTTAAAGTAATAATGTTGAGCTAGTAAGAGACATACTGGGGTTGTTACCTATGATGAAGAATATGCCTTTAGTTTAGGTTGGGCTATGTGGATAACAAACTCTTAAGTTGGAGATATATGTGTAAGAAGCTTATTGGGGAGTTCTCTCAGGATCAACATCTATGGGGGAGTAAAGGAAGTAAAAATGGATAGAGGGAGAAATTGAGCTGGTTGCAATCACCACAAAGGCCTCAGCTGGTGGTGACTCCACTGGCCCTTTATCCTGGGAAGCATCTTGACCTTGGAAAAGGTAGCTAGCTAGCTCTCTGTGTCTGAGGGCTGTGCCTAGAGAGATTTGCTGAAGATTGTCAGCAGTCACCATTCCCAGCAGCAGGAAGAATAAGTGCCTGAAGCCTGAACCAAGGATCTGTGCAGGCATCACAGAACCAACCACAGGCCACCTCTTGTGCCACTTGTTCCCACTTGTTTTGTACCGTAAGTTTTAGAATGTTTGTTTGGATTTTTGTTTGCTCTCTTCTCCTGAAGCAACTTCTAAAAAGTTAATGTGATAAACTACAACCATCATTTTTATNGGGTTGTTACCTATGATGAAGAATATGCCTTTAGTTTAGGTTGGGCTATGTGGATAACAAACTCTTAAGTTGGAGATATATGTGTAAGAAGCTTATTGGGGAGTTCTCTCAGGATCAACATCTATGGGGGAGTAAAGGAAGTAAAAATGGATAGAGCGAGAAATTGAGCTGGTTGCAATCACCACAAAGGCCTCAGCTGGTGGTGACTCCACTGGCCCTTTATCCTGGGAAGCATCTTGACCTTGGAAAAGGTAGCTAGCTAGCTCTCTGTGTCTGAGGGCTGTGCCTAGAGAGATTTGCTGAAGATTGTCAGCAGTCACCATTCCCAGCAGCAGGAAGAATAAGTGCCTGAAGCCTGAACCAAGGATCTGTGCAGGCATCACAGAACCAACCACAGGCCACCTCTTGTGCCACTTGTTCCCACTTGTTTTGTACCGTAAGTTTTAGAATGTTTGTTTGGATTTTTGTTTGCTCTCTTCTCCTGAAGCAACTTCTAAAAAGTTAATGTGATAAACTACAGCCATCATTTTTACAGCTGGCCTTGAGGCCACAATTGGTATTCGTCTTTGCTCTGCTACTCATTCTAGATTCACCTCGTAAGTTTTAGAATGTTTGTTTGGATTTTTGTTTGCTCTCTTCTCCTGAAGCAACTTCTAAAAAGTTAATGTGATAAACTACAACCATCATTTTTATAGCTGGCCTTGAGGCCACAATTGGTATTCGTCTTTGCTCTGCTACTCATTCTAGATTCACCTACCCTTGGCTGGTACCTGTGCTGATCTGAGATTGCTCACTTGGTAAAATAACCTGACTTTTCATCCTTAGGGGTTCAGTGCAAGTCAGGGTTAGGGGTGGGTTTCCATACAGTCACCCAGAGACCCAAGCTGATTGAAGCCGTACCATCTAGATGGTTACTGGTCACTGTCAGGGGAAGAGAAGGCTGGGTGGTATGCACTGGCTTTTCTATGCTTGGGCCTGGAAGTGCAATGCATATCACTTCTGCTCAGAGCCCATTGGCGGAGCTAGCCATAAGGACCTGCCTTGTAAGAATATTAGGAAATTTGGGGAGAGCAGAGTTCAGAATGGTGGTGATCCCCAGTTTCTGCCACAGTCTGCCCTTCTGGTTATCAAACATTTCTCTGCTTCCTTTATTCCACATCTCCTTAAGGGAGATAACCCAAAGTCCCATTCCATCAGGGCATTTAGCGCCAAGTGATACACAGTAATGTCTACCTCATTTCCGGGCATTGTTAATTTTGGTCCGGAAGCATAGGAACTGAAATGACCAAATTATCTGGCTACCATTATCCCGTCCTCCCCCAAATACCCTAGATAGAGTGGTCATACAGGGCCAAAACAACCACAGTAAACAATCTTATTTGAAAAACTGAAAAATGCAGTCACTAGTCAGTTGTAATTGAAATTCTGCTGGGCAGACATTGTGAGTGTCTCTTGCTCTGAGGGTGAGGGATATTCCTTGATTAGGCCTTGAATCTGATCTCTGATACTGGCTCCACCCTGTGGGAGAGTTTTCTATTATCATTCTGGCTGAAGGAGTGGCTCCCAGGGACATCCTTTTCTCCTAGTTAAAAGTGGAGGAGCAAGAACAATGCTACATGAAGCACCGAGCCCATCAGGAGAGTGTAGATGCATACTAGGGCAGTTGGAGATATTTACTGAGCATCTGCCATACTTTTTTTGAGGGGTCTAGTAGTATATAGCTTTTCCAGAATAGCAAGCCCCTGAAATTCTTGACTGTTCCCTTTCATTTCTACTTCTAAAGGTGGCCAATTCTTTCAGATGCATCCAATAGCCACCAACACACACTACTGAAGTTTTGCTTTCAATCTCTTCTTCTACAGCAGAGGTCAGTTAACTTTCTGATAGTAAATATTTTAGGCTTTGCAGGAGATACCATCTCTGTCACAGATACTGGTCTCTGCCATGACCACTTTTGTGACACAAAAGTAGCCACAGACAGTATGTAATTGAATGAGTGTGACTGTGTTCTAATAAAACTTTTTTGACAAAAGCAGGCAGACCTTAATTTGCCAATCCTTGTTCTATAGCTTCTGGTTCATTATGCACGTGCTGTGCAGGTGACAGCCTCATAAAATGTTTTGCTACTATGTAATCTAGATCACCTTTCCAACCTCTGATGTTACTAGTTTCCATGCTGCTCAATTGCTGAGCCATGATCCTGTGTTTTTGTAATACCCTATTGGCAACAGTTTTGGTGCTAGTCAGAACAGACTAGGCTATGCTGAGGTAACACATGAACCTTGAACTCTCAATGGCTTAACACAACTAAGGTTTATTTCCCACACTACATGTCCAGTGTAGGTGATGGTGGGTATGGGGACTCTACCTAGGTGCTCAGTAACCCCTTCTGCCAGAGGGTCGACTGTCTAGAACATTCCCAATCACGAAAACAGGAAAAGAGACTACAGGAAGTTGTGCACTGGCTCTTCTGTTCCTTGCTCCCCACTCACATCCCATTGACTAAAACTAATCATGTGGCCCTTTCCTACTGTGAGGAGGCGGGAAAAGTGTGGGGAAAGGGGGGAGATGGGATGTTAGGTTAGTTCCAGTAACTCTGCCACAAATTCATTTAAATTCCAAGTTACTCTTATATATAGTTAGCAGTGTTGGTAATATCTGTAAAAAGGTACGTATTGATATGCAAGGATGAATTTCAATTAATATTCTTTGAGGCATTTTTGGTATTTTTTAAACAAAATATTTATTTCTAAAAAGTAATTATATTTTTCTCTTATTTTTTCCAAAATAAATCGTTGAAGATTGGAATCTTCTAGATTAGATTGCACTAGAGTAAAGAGCCAGTAATCTTCAACTGAACATGAGACTAGACAGTGAAGTATTATCAAAACTTGTGATATTTATTCTTGAAAATGGAGTGTTACTTTACAGATATATTGTAATTTAGAAATATTAACAACATTATGTTTACAGAATAACAGTAATGAAAATTTTTGTCTTCTGTTTCACTAAGCCCATTGATATCTTTGTAGATTTAATTTCATAAAGTCATTAGATTGCGTATCTTTTAAACTCGTCAATGCTTGCCTATCAAAATATGTTAAAGACAACATATATATGTTTCTGGATTTAGATAGTACAAGAGTAATCTTTGACTTTCAGGCCAGCTTTTTTTCCCTTTTCTGTTAATCACTATTATTTAATATAGGTACTGCACATCAGTACAGGTAATGCAATGTATTTGTGCTGTGAATATATGCTTTCTTTCTTCTTTGGTTTTGTAATAGGATTCATCATGGTTAATAGGAAAGGATGTTCAGCATGAAGCCATGAGTTTTTATGCCCCTGCCTGCCTTTTCATGCGTTTAGCACAAAATTCCTTAAGGTCGTGGTCAGGTGGAAAATTCTTTACAAAGACATTATTTAGTAGTATCAACAGCAGATAATTTTATGGATTAGTGGCACCAAGAACATGTGTCTCTCCTCTACAGGCAGACAGAAATTTTATGAGCAAATTTGTGTGATTTCAGGTGGGTAATCAGGGATGGAAAGACTGATAATGACTATTTCAGTCCTTTAGAACTGAGTATCTGCCAATCTGAAAGGTCAAGTAACATTTGCTAGGATTAGCAGAATAGCTCATTGTTGATTTGTAATATTTCTATAAAACTTATTGTGATTTTAAAATATTTTTTAATACTGGCAATTTAATATGCAAATGAGTATAAATACTAACTTATGACCCTTTCTTCTACCATAGTAGTTCTTAAGTGAGATTTGAGATGCCTTTCTAAATTCTTTTTACTCTGTATGACCAAAAATTTCTAGCTAAGCATAATCTCTAGCACATAAACTGTTTCTAACTTCTCTAATAGTTGTATTTATTCATAAATTTAAAATTCCAGAAAGCTGATTTCTCAGGTTTGCCTTTTTATGATGAATATTTGCAGTGATATTATGAGAAAAGTGAACAATTAATATGAATTATTTTACAAGCAATAGAACAATCGTGAACTGCAAAATCTTTGTATATACATAGCAGTCTTTTTTTTTTTTTTGAAGGACTTAAAACCCAGCAATATAGTAGTAAAATCAGACTGCACTTTGAAGATTCTTGACTTTGGGCTGGCCAGGACTGCAGGAACGAGTTTTATGATGACACCTTATGTAGTGACTCGCTACTACAGAGCACCTGAGGTCATCCTGGGCATGGGCTACAAGGAAAACGGTCAGCATACACTATTTATTTGAAATACTCTCCTGATTTAATTTCTTTTGTTCATCAGATTTCTTATGTAAATACTTAAACTGAAATACATGAAGATAAATGTGTTTCACTGTTTGAAATGTATATTAAGAATTTAAAAATATATATTTTGTCATAAATGTTTGGAAAAACTTCGGGGCCTTATTTATTTAAATGCAAAAATATAACATTAGTACTAGCATTAGATAAAGAATTTGTTGTCCTGATTTCTGAAGCAAACGGTATGCCCTTTGCTTGCCTGTAACTTGAAAATGAGCATTTCTAACATGGACTCAAGGAAGTATATAGTACTGATGGTTTATTCTTAGTAGTAATCCTAGTATGCATTAGTGACATTTACCCATATTTCCAATTCCACCATAAAACTAAAGTTAATAGCAGTAGCACTTAGTGTGTACTTTAAGAGCTATAGTAAAGCCGTTCTGCAAAGGTGATAGATGATTAAGGTGACCTCTAGGAGGAAACAATAATGTTGGATCAAAGCCTTGTGTCCAGTCTTAAGGAAATGGTTTATAGTATATAAGACATATATACTATAGTATGGGTATATTCAATTATATTTATTACCTTTGGAATCAAGGTTGAAGAAAATTATCTTGCATGTAGGTTGTGAATTTAAACAAATTTTATACGTATACATACATACATTTATATTTAATTTAGGAAGAAATTTTGTTGAGTCTCAGAAATTTAGGAGATGATGAAGTCTGCATGGGATTTTATTGAATTAAACTGTAACTTTTTAAATATGGTGACTTCATCCAAAATACACCCTAGAATAAGACCTAGACAAGGAACCTGGAAAAGCAGTTCACTTTGAATCAGGAAACTGTATTTATTCAACCTTTAGGACTTTTTTTTGTTTTTAATTAAAGATACCATTGAACTGAGGATTTTAATTAATTTCTTTTTCTTTTCTGAGCTAATGAAAAACAGATACTTTAAACACTTATTACCAATCTTTTATTCTTAAGTAGACATGCTATTCTGTTTTCTTACCGTACCTAAAATTTGGAGGGTTTTTATTTGAGAATTAATATTTCAGGCGACTAGCATGAAGATTGCTTTTTCATTTGCTGTGAAACCACTGATCCTCACAGCTGTCGTGTAATGTTTCAGTGGCCTATAAATGTGATCTGGGATAGCTCCCTACCAGAAATTAGCACCAAGAAAAACTATCATATAAAGAATTGACATGCTTTCCTCTCTTAGATAATAATTATGTATGCAGATCATCTTATTGTCTCCTCCCCCCACCCCAGGAAACAGTCAAATGTAATACTTAATCATGATAACTACATTAGCCAGCAAGGTTATACATAAGGACTTCTTTTTAGTGACCACCCCTCCCCCACCACCATTTTGGCAACTTCATTTTATCTGCCTTTGCATTACCAGTGACTTTAGAGCATTTTGGAAAGTGTGTTATAATTGGAATATGTTTTAAACTGCCTAATTGACTAAGCAGTTAGACCCTTAAAAGTTAGTTTTCTGTATGAGTCAGCCTTATCATGGTTTTTGTCTTCGCTGACCCAGATATCTCCTCTCATGCTTGTAGCTTTCAAAATTTGTTTAAAAATATGTTTTTCTGATTACCAACATAGGTTATGTCCTGGATATTTGACTAAAGTTTGCCATTCTCTATAATATCTATAGGGAAAAGTTATTCTAATAGATTCTTGCCAAAAATGAAAATCTTAGAAAATATTTTTTTCTGATGGACTGATTTATGAATATTGACTTTTCCTTTAAAATTTTACCCTTGAAAGTTGAATTATATCATAAATATAAAAAGATGTGTATAAATTTTAATATTAATTTTAGGAAAACTTTAGTTCCACAGATTTCCAAAATTAATTCCCAGTTTAGCTCCTAAGAGTCTTCAGCGAACTGGCAGTCTTCTTATAGGAATGTATAGACTTTAATTTCCTGAGTCCTCTAACATAGGAAAAGTCCTCTGACATCCATTCCTGTCCTTACTTCTTTTTCTTTTAAAGAATTTGGACCATCAAACTTCAGATGCAAGTTTTTAAAGCTTTTCCTTTTAAATTGCTTATTCTTCCCTCTTTTCCTATTAAACTGCATTTATTCTCCTCTTTGATATTCAAACCCAAAGCTATAAAATGCCAGGGTGTGTTGTTAGTTTTAATAAACCGATGGAGATCCCAAACTTGTCTGTTTCTGTATCTAGCAGGTTCTTTTCAGCATTAAGGGCTCCCACTTAAAGTTGGCGAGGGTCAGTAAGTCTGCTAGGAGACTCTTTGTAGATAATAAATCTATGGGAAGGAACTTTCGTACCCTATTCAGACAAGACTAATTTATTAAACCACAAACAGTTTGGTTATATGGGTGTAAAAAACAGTCAGGAAACATGAAATATACTTCTTTTATTAAGTTTTCTTAATTCATTAGTTGTTCATTCTCTATGCCCTTATTCTTTTTGGGATAGCAAGGTTAATATAGCATGATTTTGCCAAGAACACAATTGACTTTTCGTTCAGAATAAACATAGCATTTCTCAATTAAATAAATTTATGAAATCTAGCTTGAAAATTTCTGAGGAGCTTTACATTAACTTTATTGTAATAGTTCATACAGACATTTTTTCTATTAAATATTTTAATGTGCTAAATTATTTCTGCTCATGCTTTTTTCTTTTATTTAACTTAAAGAGAGAGTGTAATGCACAGTTAAACCTCAAAGTAGTATTAGGATTTTATTTTTATAATTTTACTGTTTCATGTACACAAAGTTTATGTTTGGTTCTATTTTATATTTTATAAACAAATTCTCAGTTTACAAAATGTACATATTTTTTATTTATGTATATTCTGTGCATAGCTCTCACTTTAAAATTGGATATGTGGTTAAAATGCCATACTTTATGTTTTCTTTTGTGAACCAAAGCCTTTTGGAAAATATTTTGTGTTTTAAATTATTCCATTATCTAAAATTAAAATCACTTTTTTCTTTCTGTGATGTTTTGCAGTTTTTATATAATGCAGTCATATTATGCTTCTTTGATTTTAATGACCTTTTGCTTTGCTTTTCCTTCTTTTGTGCTGCAAACATATAGTGGATTTATGGTCTGTGGGGTGCATTATGGGAGAAATGGTTTGCCACAAAATCCTCTTTCCAGGAAGGGACTGTATCCTTGTGCTGCTGCAGCAGTTTAATTAGTTAGGTGATGAACTTCCTTATGTTATCTAATGAAAATGAATATGCTGCATTTATACATACGGGTTTTTTAAACAGATGTAAAGTTTGTGGCTGTTATAGTTCAAAAAATTTTTGATATAAGCTGTGAAATACTTGTAGGCTGCATCTGGCAGTAGAACATACAGTCTCTGCTGGTAGTCAGAGCACATTCACTGTCACTCATTTTTATTTTATACTGCTTTTTATAATTTTAAAGTATACATGGTGTGCGTGATTTTTTTTAATGTTTATATTTTGTTTTTATTTTAACCAAAATCTTTATGTTAATGTCATTGCATTTTGTTTTCAGTTGACATTTGGTCAGTTGGGTGCATCATGGGAGAAATGATCAAAGGTGGTGTTTTGTTCCCAGGTACAGATCGTATCCTTATCTTTGGCCTAAATTATAGTTTCTAAAGGTCAAAATGTATGACAGTACTTCAGCTTGGTTAGGCATAATGTTTTTTGTGTCTCCCTAATATATAAGGTATTGTTAAATTACTCTTTCAAAATACCACCTGCTATTTGACATAGACTTTCCTTTTACTCATTTATTGTTTCGTATGTTAATTCCGAAAATTGCTCAAGTGTACTTATCCACAATTATTTGCTGGCTTTGAGTTAATTTTTTAAAGCTAAATCAAAAATCATGGCTTGCATTAAAAATTTCTATTAATTATACACTTGAATAAATCTAGAAATACTTGGACTTAATAGGAATTTTGGAATTGCCTGTTGCTTCTGACCATTCTTTCATTTTATCCTCCCACCTTCTTTTTGTTAATGTTCTGTATGTTTTGTGTCTTTTGGTTGTTGTCTCATTACTCAACATAACATACCCATCATTTTGTCTGAGAATTTCAGCAGTGATAGTTTTATATGGTGATGATTAGATTTGGATTCATGCTTTTAATATTCATATTAACGGTGATCTGTTATGTGTTTATCAAGTAGTAGCACTTAGAATTGTTTTAGTAGGAGAAATAGGAAAAGCCGTATTCATTAGGTTACAATGAATAACCTAGTTTTAGGCCTTTGTCTTCAGGAACATAAAGACAAGTATGAAGGAAACCAGGGAATCCTAACCTTACAGCTCATCAAAATACTGAATCTTTTTCATAAGTTTCAGAGTTTAAAAAAAATAATTATTAACATAAGCTAAACAAAGAAAATGCCACTTTGATCCAAGCCATTATTTTTATTGCAACTGGTTATTTTCTGTTAGTATAGAAAAATCAAAAAAGCAGGACGGATTATGGAAGTATTTAATATTCTCTAGAAAATGCATTCACATTTTCTGATAAGCTGGAAGAAAAGGCAAATTTTGTATATTAGATTGTGTGCAATTTGTATTTAGAGTATCTATGGATAGTAATTATCATTATTCTTTGAGTCACTTATAATTTGTATTTAGAATTTGTGAGTTTAACCTTCTATTTCCATGGTAAAATCAGTTTTAGTATACATGCAATAAATAAGGTTAACAAACGCTTATTTATTGATCATTTCTGTCCACCTACAGTCTTTGCCTTTTGCAAGGTGGCTGCGAGATATAAAATTTATAACCGCCACATTCTTTCTTAGGATTTTAAAAATTTTCCTTTTCTTGAAACTAATGTGTTGAACATTAGATACAGAGTACTTTTCTTAGCTACCTTGATATTAGATATTGATCAGTGGAATAAAGTTATTGAACAGCTTGGAACACCATGTCCTGAATTCATGAAGAAGCTGCAACCAACAGTAAGGACTTATGTTGAAAACAGACCTAAATATGCCGGATACAGCTTTGAGAAACTCTTCCCTGATGTACTTTTCCCAGCTGACTCAGAACACAACAAACTTAAAGGTACTTTTTACACATATATACATTTAATTCCTGTGTGTGTGTGTATGTATTCATATTCATATTCACATTCATAGGGGACATAACCCAAGGTTGTTTCTGGTTGGTGGAAAAAAGTGAGGTTATAGTAATTTTTATCTTTAATTTTATATTTTTAAATCATATATATGACCTGATTTTATAGTAAAAGCTGTTCTGTTTATAATTTGAGAACCTTTACGAATATGCGTACATTAACATAATTGTTTTTGCAGCCAGTCAGGCAAGGGATTTGTTATCCAAAATGCTGGTAATAGATGCATCTAAAAGGATCTCTGTAGATGAAGCTCTCCAGCACCCATATATCAATGTGTGGTACGATCCGTCAGAGGCAGAGGCTGTAAGTTCTTTTCTTTATGCTTGAAGAAAATATTTCATTCTTAGAATTACAGTAGGTTTGGAAGAGACCTTTCAATTTTAAATAAAAATAAAGATACATGATGATGCTGTTTTTCTGTTTTTGCATGAAGAGTACCTTAAGCTAAGGGCATATCCAAGCACCTCCTACACAAAATAAAATTACCCTCTGCTGTTTTGTGTCTTTTTGCCTTGAAACCTGATCAGAGGAGCTAGGATGTTGGACGTCCTGAGGGAACATCCTAACTTAGTTATAAAACAAATTATTGTATCCAAAGCACAGCAGATTTCCATGATATGGATAAAATGTGACAATTGCAAAAGCTGGAAGAAAAGAAAAAGACAGTTAAGCATCCATCTTTTTTCCCTGAAATTAAGGAGTCTTCCAAAACTAGTCTATAAGAAGGTGTTGAGGATTGATAAGTCTTGGCCTAATGATGCATTTTTTCAAGTGTTCTATCTGGCTAATATTTCAAATAATTATAAGGAGCTTATATACTCCCAGTACACTGATTCAGTTACTGTTGTTTTTCAGCCACCACCAAAGATACCTGACAAGCAGTTGGATGAAAGGGAACACACAATAGAAGAGTGGAAAGGTAATGTTCACCAGATTCTTAGGAAACCGAAAAGGGTTCTGGTTTTTTATGACTTGTTTATCATGTTAAGGAAGTTAATGATATTTTCTGTTTTTCATAACTGATACTGGTAATATTAATATTTTTACAGAAGTGGAAAGTAAGTTTCCTTCTTTTTTAATCTTAATTTCCCAAATTTCTTACCCCAGACACAGATGCATTAGTGCTTTCCTTGTGTTTTTCCATAGCTGTGAATATACACATGTGTTTGGTGTCTCCCATCTCTCCTCTCCCACACATTTTAGTCAGAGATATTGTATAGTGTGTATGCTGTGCACACTTCCTTTGTTGATATAACCATTTATCATGAAGATTATTCTTTCTTGGTCTGCATGTCTACCTCATTTGGTTTTAATAGCTGAGTAGTGTTCTGCTGTGTGGGATGTGTCACAATTTCTATATCCAGGTCCCCCTTCAAGAGCATTTAAGTTGTGTCCAGTCAGTTTCTGTTCCAAACATCTCTGCAGTATTCATGTGCATGTGTGAGAACATACATGTAAGAAAAATCCTAGAAGGAGATGTGGTGAGCCAAGGGGTGTTTTTCATTTATTTTCAAACTACTCTCCAAAGAAATTGTGGTAGTTTATACTTTCCTCAGTATTGTATAGGAGTGTCTGTTTACCCCCAGTCTCACCAACAGATTGGGTTAATTTTTAATCTTTGCAAAATCTAATATGGTAGTTTTATTCTATTTTATGAATGTGGTTGAACATGAATAATGCTTTGATAATCGTGTAAATATTAAAATGTTTTTTAAAAGATCCCTTGGTACATTTGGGCCAGGTAATTTCTAGATTCTGTTTACCTCCATTTGTGTTGTTGTCATTTAGTGTTTTGCCCACTTATGTAGTTGTGTGTCTTTGGGCAAATCACTTGACTCCCTTTTTAACCTCATCTTAAAATGGAAGTAGAAAACCTGTTATTAAGATCTGAGTATTTAAGTACTGGGAAGGGAAAAGGGATTGGGGAGGTATAAACCTGAAAGATAATCCATCTATAAATTTATTTTGGGAAAGGATTTAAGAACTTAAGTCTTTCTTCTTAGGCATAACTGGAGATTAGTTTTCTCCTGGTTGACTGTGGGAGACTCATGGTTAGCAGAGCCCAGTAGAATGATAGAATTGGATAGAGCCTAGTGCGTTTGAATACATAATAAGAAATGTACAAGGATGTAACTCTGGACCCAGAGTATGTATTAAAATATTAACCTGGTTATATTATTTTTATCTAATTACAGTGAACATTTATGGTGTTTCATAGAATCTTAATAGGTCAACAATTGTGAGCCACAAAGAAAGAGAAAACACTGCCATTTGTGCTGTACTATTGATGATAACATGTAATCAGTTTCAGAGATATTAAACTGTGACAAAAGTACATGATAAAATCAATG